CCCCAAAACCCCAAAACCCCAAAACCCCTATATTTTTCAAGAATATTGGAAGAAAGGCTGAAATTTAGCCAAATAGAAAGTTGGATTTAGGGGTCAAATTGGTGGACAAAGCAATACAGGAGACGAAGTAGGATTTTGAGTTTTTGGAATTTGAATTTTTAAGAAATTTAAGGGAAATTTAGGTGGTTTTTGGACCAAATTTCGAAAAATTATCCAAAGATATAACTTTAAGGCTCTAATTTGGAGGAAATTTTGAAAAAATGCAATCAGAAGAGGCACAGTTGAAGGTGCAGAAGATGGTCGCGAAACAGCAGGAGACCATTATTAATAACCTTATCAACAACCTAGCGGATATGGCTGGTATAAAGGCACCGATTTTCACGAAATCTTTTATGGTCAAGGTGAAGTACCTAAACAAAGGAAGAATGCTGGCCAGCAATCCTAATAACTATTATGAGTTATGAACAAGTGTCTACAAGTGATTCCCAGAGATTTATAATATTGATGATTGCTATATCTACTTCAATGACTGGGAAAGCGACAGAGCCGCTGTAAAGGAAGACGATGATGTTCAGGCTGCCTACAAGCTGATGAATCTGAAGAAAGGCAATATCCTCACATTTTATGTTGAAAACCGGAAGCAGAGGAAGGTCATTGAAGGAGACCTTGATGCTGATAAAATCGCTAAGATTAAACTTGACATGAAATTGAAGAACCCTGATTCTTTTGAAAATGCAATGCTAGTTCGGAGTGGATATGTGTATGAATTTGTATCTCATGCTAAGAAAGCATACAGTTTTAGGTGAGATGACTTCAGAAGAGGATGTAAAGGAAAATGGTACATGCATGAAGCAGACCTCGAAGGGCTAGGGATCGAACATTCAGCACACTCTTTGCTTAAAGAAGAGCATAAAGCTTTAGAAGTCTCTTCAGAAATAGCAAAGACAGCTTTAAGCATTGTCCCATTTCTTGACATGAAAGGAGAGCTTCCTTATAAAGTGAGCTATTCAACTTTTAAAAAAGTAATTTCAAAATTACTTGAACAGGACTTTAGACTGACTCGGGATGATCTTGTCAATTGCTTTGTCAGTCTTGGAACTGACTGGAACCTCCTCTCAAAAAGGATTCTTGATAACCTAATCAGTAAGATAAAGGCAAGGCTCTCTGTTAGAACTTCAGGAGGATGTGATTGCACTCAGCTCAGAACAGTGGAGGGTGCTCCCTTTTGTAGGAATATTATTGAGGCAAAAGTAGAAGATATGAAGCAGTTCTTGATCTTCTTCTACTCAACTTTTCATGAGATGATAGCCAAAGAATCAAAAACTTTGTATATTTCAGGCTCGTATGCTAAATACGTGACTCCAGATTGGAGCGAAACCATATTTGTTAAGGCATTCAAGAATGGCTGTTGAATCCCAGTGTGAACCTTCATGACTCAGAGTTCAAGTGAGGACGCCTTCAAAGCTGGGTTTCAATTCCTCAAAGAGGAAATGCAACTATCTCCGAATGAGATAGTCATCGATCCGAATGCTGATTTAACCAGAGCTGCAATCTCGGTGTTTGGGAATGAGACTAAGTACCAGACTTGCTCCTACTTTGTGCATAAGCATATCAACCAGAAGGCGATCCGGTCTGGAGTTTTGAATGATAAAGGTGACCAAAACATCAGGAAACTCCTCTGGTGCTTGAAAGCTCTAGCTTTTAGGCCGAAGGAGGAGGTTCTCACATATTTCAGTAAAGTCCAGGGATTCTACAAAAGATTTTGTGAAGCTTATGACAAAACAGCCAAGATGTTCGAAGAGCTATTCCTGAAGAAGCTCAATGTGGAGTACTGGAACATGAATCATCTCTTGTCAGAACCAAATGATAAAAGACAGAGATATCTTGAGATGAACAGAAGGCTTGAAATTCATGATGTCCTTGTAGAGAGGTTCCTGAAGGGATGTGCAGGAATCAATGGGTTTAATAAAGGTCTAGCAGAGATTGAGAGAAAGGCGAGGTTTATGATTGAGAGAAATGAGCTTGCCAATATTCAGGTTGAGGATTTGGATGAAGCGACTATTTTGAAGGATTTGATACATTCAAGGTTTAAAATAGAGCAAGTAATGTCACATGCTTTTCAGATTCCTAGTAAAGATAGAGCAATTGATCTTGCATATAATCCATCAATGAGCAACCTTAAATCTATCACTGATAGGGTTCCATCCACTACATTTTCAATGGAACCTGCAGTTTCGATGTTTTCCGTACAAAATAATTCATCTGAGCCTAACTCCTCAGATGTTTCAATGACAAATGTTGAGGCACCTAAAGATATAATGAATATTGAAGAAGGAAAGATAGATGATTCTCAAACCCAAGGCACTCAAAAAGAAAATTTTGTGAACCAGTTTGATACACAATTTAATGATACTCTTGTTGGTGATGGTTTCCTACCAGTGGAACAAACACCTGCTACTCCTTATACCCCTCATACGCTAACAGGAGCCACTCAGAGGCCAAGTCAGGGAGATGGCGTCAGAAAAGTAATTTAATTGCTCTAATTTTGTTCAATAACAGAGTTGTCAAATGGGGTTTTGGGGTTTTGGGGTTTTGGGG